GTGTGATTAGGATGATTCGGATGTCCAAAATTACCTCATGAAGATTATGTACTTTTCGCAAGTGGTGATTGATGACAATGAGTAGATCGCGATCTCCTTCTCTCACGCAATTCATCATTCTTCGCATATATCCATCTTCTCTGCCAAAGTCGCGATCATCGTTTGCTTACGCGACAAGGTTTCTTCCGTCGTTACTTGGCTACGTTCGATCGCGACCTGATTCTGCTCCATCGCTTCCATTCGTTGTTCCATTATTGCTCTTGTACGAACCATCCACGATCCGAACGACAAATTTGCACAATTCTGGCGATGACTCAACAACTATCGATCACCAAACCAATGCTCTAATACCAATGATAGATCACAGGTAATATAACAGCAAACGATAACATATCAATGAGAAATATGTAGAGTAATGATTGAAGGTGTTTATTGATAACGAGCGAAACACAATACGTATACAAGTGTTGGGACTGTTCGAGAAGCCCAATCTCTTAAGCTAAAATGCCAATTCAACACCGCCTACAACATTAGTTATTTACCCAACTATTTATAGCCCATAACCCTCTCCCTTCTATTCAAGCTACTTGCTTTCTATACAATTTCATTACCACAGTGACCTTGTGAATGTTCAGCAAGTACATATTTAAACATCATTTCATATACCATAGTCTAGCATATGAGATAGCTGAGGAAAATATTCTTGAAAAGCTTCACTTGAAGGGGGTTTGTCCACGGAGATGTGAGGCCTGAGAATTTTTTACTTGGCCAGCCAGGAACAACTGAGGAAGGAAAAGAAGTTGTATCTTATCGATCTTGGGTTTGTTTCATGGTGGACATGCAGACTCACAATCTGGTCAACATGTAGAATATGACCAGAGGCCTCATATATTCAAGGGGACAATATGATACGCAAGTGTCTATGCACATTTAGGTAGAGCAGGAGGTAGAAGAGACACTAATTTTTCTCATAAAGGGAAGGTTACCATGCCAATTCAAGGTTATCAGGGTGATAACAAGAGTTTCCTTGACCATCAGATGCATCACACCTTTATTTGTCTTACTGTTCTCAATTGGAACCATATCAAGAATCTCCTCTTCTTGAATAAGAACCTTGGAAAGCACAATGTCAACCCTTGAGGTTTCAAATAGGTTCTCCAATTTCAAGAACTCATGATGTAACTTGAAAATAATTTTCTTGTTTCCCTGATGACATTCCAAAGATGAATCAATCTCAAAAAAACATTGATGAAAAACCCGTCTTCATTGACATCAAACCAAGAGCCACCTCTGCATAGCTTTCTTTGCTTTCAGCTCCTTTCATCTTCTTCTCCAGTAAGCTCTTACCTGTGTTTAACAACTTATCAAATACACAGCTCTTCAAATTTCCAACCAATACCCTATCCTCAGACCTTTTAATTACTCCAAACAACAGTTTAAAGAAATACTCAACAACATCAATGGCAACAGGAACAGAGCAAACACTCAACTCATCAAGCCAAACCGAAACGATGTGATAACACACTCCATTACCTAACAATTATCTTCCGCTAAAACGCATTATTGATTAAAATATCAACAACTGTAGTTAGAAGCTCCACATTCCAGCTATGGTTGCATTTCTCAAGCCGTCAATCCCAATCTATTCACCGATTCACGTTTCAGAGAGACGAGAAAAACAGAGAAAAAATCCAAGGCAAGAGAAATGCGCGGTTGATGAGATGAGATTGGGCAGGAGCCTTACCGGAATGCCACAGACAATAGAAGAGTCCCTTCCAGAATGAGATTGGGCAGTAGCCTTATCGCTGCAGGAAGCAAGGTGTTTGATGAGGTCCAGGCCGGGGGTGACTGCATAGAGGATGAGAGTTTCAGGTCTGGGGTTGAACTCTCTAGATCGCTTCTTCACTACGAGTTGAAGATCTACGGATCATTCGAACTATAGATCGGAAGATCAAATGTGATTTCTGCGGACGAAGTGAGAGCAGAAACCCCATGAGTTTCATTCTGTTCGGCCGTAGTTATTTAGGAATGACTGATTGAAGGAAAGAGATGAAGCATTGACGGAAAGTGGAACATTCGACGTGAGTAGCCGTTTTACTTTTCTCGACTTTCTCATCAGAGCCGGCTATGGGGGCAAGGCACCTAGGGCACCAAATTTATGGAGGGCCCCATTTTTTTAAATGGTATTATATATATGTTAATATTATTAATTAATACATTAATAGATGACCCGGCTTCCAATACATGTAGCGTCCAAACAAACTCCTTTAAAAAAACTAACGAAAGTAACGCAATAAGGATTTTTGGCAATTGAATTTTGAAACTAATCAAAAATACCAGAAATTAGTATAATCTTGATAGCCGTTATATTTACTCGTGTTTAACATAAGTATTTATAAGTATTTGTTAAAGAAAAGAAGAGAAATCGGACAAATACCTACAGAATGAGAGCTAGAGCATAAAACATTGCGATGAACGACTTTTTGGACCAAGAGAATGACGTTCTGCCCATACTTTGAGTATAACTTATTCTATAGAACTCGAAATCACTCGATTTGAGTTTCATGTGAATGCTAACTCAATAAGGTACAAATGTTATGAAGACGTCATGGCCAAAATATGAAAGGAACAAGACTCAATCAACCAACAAAGTCAGATGTTGCTGGTGGGATTTCAGGATGCATACCTCTCAGTGTTTTATCTATATCTTTTGATTGGCTCAATAAAATCACGTCATTCAAGTTTTGGTGGATAGAAGACTTCATTAGCTACAACTTTGATGAAGGACTCATGTCCAAATTCGTAGCTAAACATCCCCAAAATCCCAGGACAAAACCGGCGCCAGAATTTCACCAAACCGGCGCCGGTTGCATTTAATCCGTTATTCTCCCGGTCGGCCAAAGTATAACCGGCGCCGGTTTTCCCCTATAACCGGCGCCGGTCATGGTGTTTTTCACTATTATTCCAGCCCCGAAGTAAAACCGGCGCCGGTTAAGCCCGAATCTGCAGAATACAAAGAGACGTGCAGCCATATCTTGATGGGAAAAACCCTCTTTCCTTATGATATGATCAAATATATCTTCCATGCTTGATTGTTGGGCTCGAATAGACTAAAAGATGCCAATCTTTAGCCTATATAAAGCCCCCAATTCATCAAACAAGATCATCATTCCATTCTTGAAGATTAAATTTCAGTTTTTATATTTCCTTTTTGCATTCTCTTGAAGTGTTGGAGAAGAAGCCATTTCTCTCTTCTACAATTGGTTCTAGGTATTATTTCTTGTATGTTATTGTATTTCATTGTTCTTAGTTACACTTTTGTAATTAATATGAGCTCAAGGAGCTAAGTTCTTAGCTAAGGCTAGGGATGAACTTCTATGCCCACTAGGTGTTTGATAAAAGTTCTAAACCAATAAATTGTGATTTATCCTTTACATTTTGATTGTTTATGACTATGGTGTACAACATAGGAGTATGTTAAACTTAGTTTATGCTTGCAATTGACGTTGAAGTCTAAACTATGAACATTAAAGGATAAACATATATATTACTGAGAATAGAAATATATCCGGTATTATATGATACGAGTGTGATGTCTTGATATTCAACGGGGTTTTCGGTAGATGAATGTAAGCCGTAACGGGACTTACACGTAACGAAAACCACGCTCTCGCTGCCTTAACCGGAGTTGAGAATATATTAGCGACATCGTATTCATAATTAATGGAAAAGAACTAATATTCAATCCTATTAAAGCATTTAAGTGATTCCCGAAGCCTTAGCCGTTGTTATCATTCATTTTTAAACCCGAATTAATTAAAGTTGTTTCCTTGAATTAAAAGTGAAAAGCCAAAAATACAAAACACAAATCAAAATTCCCGCACTTTACTCATTTATTTATTTAAAAGTCATCTACTCTCGGACTAAATTAAACAACGTTTCCCTGTGGATTCGACCCGGTATTTTACCGGAATTTATTACTATATCGGCACTTGTACACTTGCAAGTTTAACCCGGTCAAATCTAGTAGCCTATTATCCAATCGGTAGACTCTAAACTCTTTGGCCAATTGAATTTTGAAACTAATCAAAAATACGGAGGCAAAAGGATTAAGGGTATGCTTATAAAATATTTTTAAAAAGAAATGATTTTTGGCTTTTGGTTCAAAAAAGTTTTTTAAGTGACACTGCTTAAATTAAACATATAAAAACTAAAAGTTAGAATATATTTTTCTTTCTATTACACAAAAACACGTATTTTACCAAATACTATCAACTTTTAGTATTAAATATTTTTTCTAAAATCACTTTAAAAAGTGATTTTTAATCAAAAACAATTGCAAACACCCCATTAAGAAATTAAGAGTTGAGAGCTCTATACTCATAACTTTTTACTCGTAATGAGTTACAGGGATCATGATATATCAAATCGAAGATATTTCAGAGCTCTATACTCTCAAACTTTTAGCGGGGTCGGCTGACCACTCTGACCCCCCTTGGCTCCGCCCCTGTTTAGTTCCATTTAAATTTTACTTTATATCAATTTAAAGTGAAGAGACCTTTAACATTTAGTAAAAAATGGTGTTATAATTTTCTAATTACTTCTTATTTAATTTCATTATTAATTTGAAGTATTATTTGATTTCAATAATCATTCTTTGTCATTATTTGATTTTAAGTACTACATCCGTCCCATTTTATGTGTCTTCTTTGGTTTTGGCACAATTTTTAATAAAGTGGTTGAAAAGGTAAAAGTTGTGGTTGTGATTTGGTCATAGTAAAGTGAAATGTTGTGAACCACATATTTCTTTCCAAAGAGGGAAAGTGGACACTTATTTTGGGACAGTCCAAAAAGGAAAATAAGACAGGTAAAATGGGAGAGAAGATTATTATTCAATTTAATTTGGGCCCGGTTTCGGTTTCTCATTTTGCGAGGACCTACTTATAAAGTTTGCCACAGGACATCAACGTGGCAGTTGACTATCATTTGATTGGTTTAACAAAGGAGTGCACTGGTACCGTCTGTATTAATTTTCCCACTCATCGTAGACCATATTTCCATGATCATCAAGGCAGTCCACGGTCATTCACACACAACTCCGCCGCCTTCGGGTGCGTAAGGAGGCATGGCTGCCTTTTCCGGTCACAATCTGCGATTTCCATCATCAGCTGAAGCGATAAAGTCTTCTTCTTCCTCAATCCCTAAGCATCCACCATCGGCGTTTGCATGTGCTGCCATGATCAGCAGGTCAGGCATCTCCGCGAGGACACAACGTCACACCAATAATACTCCCAGGTTTGACCGGGGTTCTCAGGAGGGAAATTTGACATTGAAGGATTACTTACAACAGTCGAAAGACTTACTCAGATCTGACGGCGGCCCGCCCCGCTGGTTATGTCCCTTGGATTGCTCCTCCACCCGGCCACAACATTTCCCGCTATTGCTCTTTTTGCCAGGTTAGGTCATTGTAACTGTAACACTATTCGAGCTAAGCTGTTTTGAGTTGAGTCGTCGTGTTACTGTAATCTGTAATTTGCCTGGAATACCTAGAAAGTAGTAAGCTGATGGTTTATAACATTTATATCCTTCCTTTTCTAGAAAAAGTTCAACATAACGGTTGGCCTTATAATGGTGTGTAACTATTTTTGGGAACGTTTGGTAAAGCTGAACACGCTTGTCTGGTTTGAGCTTTTTGGGTTTTTGTTGGTACGGATTATATTGTACCAACACGCACTTTACCCCACTCATTGCTTACTTTTAGATCAGTTTGCACAAAAAACATCACCCCCAATCACTTTAATGTAAGGCTTTGCGAAACAGATACCTTAACTCCCAACGCTCAAATTAAAATACTGTTTTAAAAACGGCCTTATTTTCAAGTGCACTAGGATGTAAACACTGTTATTCCTTGATCCGCAAAAATGGCTTTTATTTTTGCATTTTGTTAGGTAGTAGAAGAGTGGATGAAATTTTGTTGCAATGGTTCTGATCATTAATCTTTCAGGAGTTGAAAATATGACAGTTTACCTTTTAAATTAGTTTTTTTTTTTTTGCTTACGTGTTGTAGGCATTGATGGTGTTGGGCTTGGACTTCTATCACACCACAAAGCACTGGGAGAGTAAGACTCCCCCCATTTGCTAGTATAGATTCACATCCCATTTCTAGCAATTGGTTTTAGACAACTACATTATAAAATCATTAAAATGCACATAAATTCTTTTGTTGGAATCTTTGACAAAAATTTTTCTTTCAATTTCTCTTCGCATTAAGGATTTTTGAGGTTTGCTGCTTGCATATTCCTCTAACGGATAGATCCACATTTACAGGTCAGTTCTTTTAACTATACCCCCCTCACCCCGTCTCTTGGATATGCAGTTATTTACCTATAGAGCCACAACATCACGAGCTAAAAACTTATGAAACTTATTAGATATTCATTCTAACTTTGCCGAGCTTTCAAAATTACATATTCACAGAACTCAGAAAGAAAGTCCTAGCCCCATGAAATGAAACTTTGTTTTTTGCCCGTCTATAGCTTTTGCAATTTAAGACAGGCTTTGTTGCAATTTGAATGTGGCTCGAGACTACTGTTTGAAAAATATCAGCATACCCGTTCCATTTTTTTTTGTCTAAATGGGTTTGTGAGCCCCGGCATTAGACCCCCCTCATCTGCTTCTTAGTGGTGATATTTGTTAAGTTGGGTTTAACCTTCCTCTAATGATCATAAATAAGGTAGGATTACCTCGCACTTACATATTAGGTTGGAGCCTAATAGACAATCCATGTGGGATACACATCATTATTATAAATGGCGGCCTTGGCGGGTGAAGATCATTCCTTCATATGGCCCCGGAGCCCCGCTATAACCCGGCCCTCTTCGCAAATTTCATATGACCTGCTATGTTTTCGACTTTACGCCACCACCAGTTGCTACTAGCTAGATGCTGCCCATTTTGTTGGAACAGTATAGCTGTGAGGTTAACTTAACATGCTTCATTCCTAATGTCATATGTTTAGATTTGGTTAAGCTTGTTGAAGAAACTGTTAGGTCTGAGTATTCTAATGCACCAAAAAGACCCATTTATCTTGTTGGGGAGTCTATAGGCGCTTGCCTAGCACTTGCTGTTGCTGCTCGTAATCCCAATATTGATCTTGTATTAATTTTGGCCAATCCAGGTAAGAAGTCTTCTAATTTTTACGTTTCTTTGAATAAAATCACTAAGTTACTAATCATTTGTCATTCGATATAAATTACTTGGTTTGGAAATTTCTTCTTGCTAGCCACATCTTTCAGCAGATCTCGGCTGCATGGTTTATTGGGTCCAACAGATGCCACGTCTAAGCTATCCTACCCTACCATAATTTACTTATTGAGATTTGTCTTAGGTTTGTTGACTTATCTTAAATAAAGGTCAATTGCACATTTGAGGAGAATATTTTCTTGTAAGCAAACTTGACATTAGATTTGATATTATAGTAATGAAACAACCGCTATTGTGATTAGGTATTCCTTTAAGGATGACTTTGGCTATATTTGGAAAAAGGTTGTCTATGCAACAGACAGTTGAGGAGCTAACTCAAAATGCTGCAGCTCTTTCATCCTATGTTTTTGTAAGAGTCAATCAAAAGCTTGAGATAATTGGTTATAATTATATAACCCTTCTCTTCATTTATTCCAATTATCCATGCACTATGAACAAGTTCATGATGCCAAACTTAATCCATTTTATCTAAGGATGGGCATTTGGATTCAGTTTGGGTAATTGGGTTGAGTCCGAGTTTAGTTTTTTCTTTGTTTTTGTTGGTGTTCTATTGTGTTTGTTTTTGTTTTGGTTTCAATCAGTTCTGGTTTGGTTCAGATTCATACAGTTGAGAAAACATTGCCAAACTAAAATTGTATCACATGCGGTTTGGGTTTGGTTCAGCGTTGATAGGTTTTGGTTAGGTACTTCAGTTAGGTTAAACTGAACCAAAATGATTGAGTGGTATGATATTGGCTGGTTGTTTTTGCTTTTTATTTTAATTATTTATAACTAGGAAAAATGATGGTTAAAAGTCACAGGTGCTGGCTCATGTCTTACCTTTAGAAACACTTTTTTGGAGGCTGAAGATGCTTAAGTCAGCTGCAGCTTATGTTAATTCTCGACTCCATGCAGTTAAAGCCCAAACATTGATACTCTCTAGGTGCTTTTGACTAATTCACCCTTACTTTCCTAGGTTCAATAGTTTATATAAGTGTTACTACTACGTTCCAAATGTCAAACAGATTTTTATGCTTTATATGTAGTGGTAGAGATGAACTTCTACCCAGTCAAGAGGAAGGTGAAAGACTTCGCCGTGTCCTACCAAATTGCGACATCCGAGAATTTAATGACTGTGGTCATGCCCTTTTCATGGTAAGAGAGAGTTTACCCTTCTTACATCATCCATTAATTTAGAGAAGTAATTTTGTATTATAAGTTTCATGTCACCAACTCCCAATGTTGTTAAGACAAAACTAGCTCCTCTCTGATGTTGCTCAGTCTGTTTTATATGTTAATCAGAATCTAAATTACAACTCTCAGCTTAGGCCATCCCTCTGGTAAATGAGTGGCCATGTTTACGGTGATGGTCGCAATGCGATTGACCATCGTCACCCCTCGGCCCTCACCATGTGTAGGAGTTCTAACTGTGCTGCAACTTTCTTTCTAAGTTGTATTGCCACATGCAGGACCAATTGTACTGCACATAACAGTTACACTTAAACCCAACCACACTGCAGGTACAACCCTCTAAAGCTTCAAATCTTGTCACACCCCACCAGTTTTACCAGGGGAGAGGGATCTTAGGTCACTGCTTGTGCAATGCATCTGTTCCAGACAGTTTGCTCTTTTTCCTATCAACACTGGTAAATGCTACCGATGCTTAATTTGAAATGTTTTTTTTTTCTGCCAGGAAAAAGACATGGATTTAGTCTGTGTCATTAAAAAGGCTGGAATTTATAAACGTGGAGTGCGCCGTGACTGTGTCTCAGATTACTTGCTACCAAAACTTTCAGAGTTTCAAAGAGTGTATGAACCATTCAGGTATTATTACTGCGGAGGATGCTTGAATGATTTTTTTAATTTACTATTCCCGGTAAATCTTAGTTCCTGCATCACATATTCACAATTCACATTGGTTGCATAAATATTAAATAGAGGCGATAGGTAGAGATAAACTTTCTAGGATAAACTCAGGTTTAATTCTATGCTACTGCTGCAAGTGTTTTTTTGTTTTCACTAAATTTTCACGGAGTAAACCACTTCGTAAGTTTTGATCTTCATTGAGCCCTGTTTTCTAACGTTAGGCTCTGTTTTAAAATGTTCTAGACGGAAAACTGGCCTACCATTTTAAAGGGCCTAGTGCCCAGTCAGGGATTAGTTGGGGTTGAACGGGATCTGAGTAGAACTGGGCTTAAGCGGGGAAATCCCTAGGAGCCCAAGGAGAGCCTATCACCCAACAGTAATCGGTGCTGGGTGGGAAAATGTCTCAACAATGATGATGTTAGGTATGTTTTTATTGTAATGTACTAATGTAGTCCCTCATTGTCAACTCAGTGCAATTATGTCCCTCAATCACACCATAGCTATGGAGTCATTCAACTTAAGCAGATGTTGCAATTTCTTAAAAAGGAGCGTACTCATTAAGGTCTCCTGTACATGTTTAGGTGGACCGAGGTTGCCTTCAATCCTGTGATGCTCTCGACCTTGGGAAATGGGAAGATTGTGGAAGGTCTTGCTGGGATTCCATCAGAAGGACCTGTTTTAGTTGTTGGTTATCACATGATGCTGGGAGCCGAACTGATTCCTTTGGTGTCCCGTTTTTTGCTCGAGAAGGAGGTTGTCCTTCGCGGGATGGGTCATCCTATGATGTTTTCAAGACAGGGAGAAGGGGGGTTGTTACCGGAGTTATCATCATATGATCCATTCCGGTACATGGGCGCTGTGCCTGTATCCGCCTCCAACTTCTTTAAACTTATGTCGTCAAACTCCCATGTCCTACTCTATCCAGGTGGTATGCGGGAAGCTCTTCACCGGAAGGTATAAATCAACCCTCCAAAACTTTTGCTTAGAGTGCAGGTTTTAATGAAAGCAGATTAATGATGTTTTCAGTACTGACTTGACTTGAACATAGATTTTTTGAGAATAGTTTAAACTAGATGTTTTCAGACCAAGTGAAAACATCCTAAAAGTGGGCCCTAATGGTTTAATCCTTTATAAATTTTAAACGTTAGTTAGTACTCAGCCATTTATGAAAAGAAAAGAGTAAGTTAACCATTAAGGAAATTAAAAGGAAAGAGAGGTGGAGTATTGTTATGTGCTGGGATTTTTTGCATAAAGGGAGTGAATTGAAAGGAAAACAGGACAGTCCTGGAATTTTAGGGAGTGTTGTTCTCCTTTGGAATTCGGGGAGTTTTCCTTCTCCTTGATTTTCTTCTTAATTCTTTCTGGATATTTATCAGCATACAAAGCTCCCTTTTTTTCCCATCATTTGCAATGGAGCCAAAGATTCATTATTTTTTGGCTTGAGAATATGATGGAATAAAGCAAAACGGCTCACTAAACTGTCTGCGCTTCTTTCTTATGAAGCAGCAGTCAGTCCATGCAATTTTGGACTCGATTTTCACTATGGGTCATCCGGAAACAGTCTCTCTGTGCTTTATAGTACAGGGGTAAGACTGCGTACATCCGACCCCCCTTACCCCACCGCAGGTGGGAGCCTTTGCGGCACTGGGGTAAATGAAAATGATGATGACAAAGCTCCCTTTTAAAATAGGGATTACATGCCTATGAACTCCGAAAACAATGAAAGGAAAATCCTAGAAAATGTATTCCTTAAATGGATTAGCTAATAAAGGTATTAAAATCATATCAAATTGAAACCAATCAAGCAAATTAATGTGCTATAACTCGCCTCAATCTTGAATCTTCTACTTGGTCATTTTTCTCTCTACAGTCTCGCAATATAGCATGCATCATTACACCCCTCCTGGAAAATCACACTTGTCCTCAAGCTTGAAAACTTCAACCTTGTTGCACTTGTAAAAAGTGCCAGTGATCCTTGTATTATTTAAGGAAGTTGAGAGTTTGTTCTAGAGGTGAACTAAAGTGAAGGTGAGTAAAATAAATTAGAAACTCCCTTTAGAAAAAACAGTAAATTGGGACAGTCTTGGTGGACCGAAAGTCAAAGTAGGTTGTTTTGAATAGTTTTTCAAGCAGGACAATCTGCATTGTAGGTGTTACAAACAGTGTTGGCACTACGGGTTGCAGTGGTTGAGGGAGGTCTTTGGCGGTTGAGGTGCCTACTGATGGGGTGCTTATACGGCTGTCGGCTGCCAAGGAAACCATCGATTGAGAAAAGTGGTCAAGTGGGTTAGAAAGTGTCTCAATCGGCTCCTTTAATGGCAGCAGTGCCAGTTGCACCCTTCTGTCCTTCTGCACTGCATTTTGCATTTTATGAAGGTTTCCTTGGCTTTTCAACTTTTGTAGCTCCTTCCGTATCTCTGAGAGGAGTGTGTACTGATCAACAGAAAGCGTGGAATTTCCCTTGACGCTGGCAGCGAACCAAAATGTTTTATGTGGGGTTTCTTTACATCACAGGAGTAAATTAAAATGATCAACGGGGTGGGGTGGGGTGGGGGTGGGGGGGGGTGTTGGAATTTTTGGGAGATTTCCTTCTTGATTTTCATCTTAATTCTTTTATTAGCATAGCAAAGCTCCCTGTTATTGTAGTGATTATATGCATACGACCGACTAAATCAAGGAAAGGGAAATTCTAGAAAGTGACTTTCTAAAATAGATAAGCATATCATACCAAAATAAAACCACTCTCCTCAATTTTCTACTTGATCTTTTATCTTTCCATAATGTAACAATATAACATGCGTCAAATAGGTAGGCTAAATTCCTATGTTTTTTTCATTCGTGTACTTTTGTGTATAATGATATCAATTACTTTAAATATACATTTATTTATTCTTATAAAAAGATTAATCATGTTTCATTTTTCTTTGAACTTTCCAAGGTAAAACAAATATTTTTCTGTGAACCTTCTGAACCTACCCTTCCTATATTTGAAGAGAAAGTACATATTATTTGGGGGAAGTCTAAAAAAGGAAAGTATGCCAATTGAAGTTGGTTAATAGCGTTTCTGTTATTAGCTAACTATAGTTGGGTGAGCTGTAGGTCTATAAATAGAAGAAAGCTGATAAGAAGAGTAGGCTGTTTTAGACATTAGTCTGTACTGGGAAGATCAGAGCATTGGCTCTATCTTTTGGGGGGCTTCGGCTCATTGTTGCCTAAGTAATAAAAGTTGCCTTGAGTTCTTGAATCAATATCTGTGAATTGTTAGATTAATCTGCAGGTTCTAACATTGGTATCAGAGCGCTGACGATCTTTGTGGATGGCCTTGATAAGAACGAAGATGGAATCGAGGATGAACGAGTTGGTTGAGAAGCTGGAAAGATCGCAACAACAAAATATGGCGATCATAGCGGACATACAGAAGAGAATCGCGACCCTGGATTGTACATACCAGAACCGATCAAAGAACAGATCGCACAATTCGCACCATAGAAACCCAAGAAATTTCGAACCTGGATTGAGTGGTAACATCGCAATTCAAGCGAAGAGCCCTAGACAACAATCGCCGCAGTCGCTCAAGAAAGAGTCGCGAACTTTTTCGCAATCGCGAAGGAAGTCGCCTGAAAAAATGAGGAAGCTCGCAGAAAAGGATAAGCGAGGAAAAATGGATAAAGAGAAGTGGCCAACCCTAGAAAAGGAAAAACGCTCAAGCCTGGAGAAGGAGAAGAGTTTTAAACCGGAGAAGGAAAAACATAGCTCTTCGCGTCGCTCTTTTCATCGATCTTTGATAACTGACAAAGTAAGTTCGTCACCACCGCTCCAAGATCGCAAACGGAGTCGCGCACTGTTTCTTATGGTTCGCAGTTGTGAAAGGTCTCCCTCGGTTCGCAAACTTACTCAACCGCGATAAATTTGTGTCCAAGAAAGATGCAATTGGGAGGGGAAGATTCCTCCTCACCAGTCCATTCATCTTGTTCACAGGTCTTTTCATCTTTATTGTTCCTATCAGTTCGCAGTTTTCGAAGCTAGCAGTTCCTTACCATGAGCAAACTTCATCAATTTTAATAGCCGAAGATCAAGCTGAATACGAAAATGGGTCACAGGTAACTTTATCGCCTATGATGAACACTGAGTTGAAGTTGTCAGAATTGAAAGAGCATGAGGAGGAAGTCACTAAAGCGGATAAGTCAAAAAGGACAGGAGTGTTTGCTCGTGCTGAAACCGAATACTTATCATTTCCATGGAGGGAGAAGTGGGCTGCTTATACTCAAAGTCAGGACCAAAATCTGGTGGATGAAGGCTTTGAGTTATTCTGGGATGCGTTAGGAATGCAATTGGTGAATAATGAGCCCCAAACTAGTGCAATTGAAGGATCAATTTTCACTCATTCAGAGGTCAATCCTGGGATGATAATAAATGGAAAAATTAATACTGCTGACAGATTTTGTATCATTGTACAATGTGCAAGTGGTGTGTCTATTCGTTATCTAGAGCAATTGACTGAATTTCTTTCCAATAACAAAGCTAAGGATGACAGGGAAATTGATACCTATGAGCAGTCACTTTGTATTTCAACTGATGTTTCAATTAGTCAAGAATGCTGTCTTTTTAAATGCCAGCTTGTCAAGCTTATATCTTGGAGCTCCTCAGATTTTGGATTGGAATGGACAGATAAGTTTGCTCTTGACAGCAATGTTGAAGGACCGGTTTATAACATAAGGGAGTTTGTTGTGGTCCCTGAAGTTCGTTCTATGGCTGCAAGAGTTTTTGGCTCTCTTATAAGGGAAAGGAAAGAAGAAAACTGGCCAGACTGGGGTCCTTGGCAGTTAGAAAATCTGACATCGCATGGTAGCATTGTTGTGCACAACTTATTTTGGCTGTTGAAGTTGTATAAGACAAATTCTGTTACTACAAATGATTCTATCATTGATACTAACTGCCTGACAGAGTGGATTGTAAATGGAGAAATTTGCATAGGGCTTGTTGATGACAATGAGTTGAGTAACTTGAATAACATCAAATATGCATCCAGCACATTGATAGCTCCAGAAGTGAGAATCCTTGAAGGTGAAAACAAGGAAACAATTGCAGCTAGTGAATGCTTGGAGGCTACTGCAACAAATGAAATTGAAGTGAATTTGAAGGAACAAATACTAAAGCTTCTAGTCCAGCAAGCAGTTATGTATTGGGAAGGAAGAGGAGCAAGGAAGAAGCAGAAGATCTGTGCTATCTCCTACCACCCACCTTGAGGGCAAGGTGGATGTTTAGGGGGGGGAGTATTGTTAGGGACCTACTTAGAAATAATAATAAATAGAATAGTTGGTTAATAGCGTTTCTGTTATTAGCTATTAACTATAGTTGGGTGAGCTGTAGGTCTATAAATAGAAGAAATCTGATAAGAAGAGTAGGCTGTTTTAGACATTAGTCTGTACTGGGAAGATCAGAGCATTGGCTCTATCTTTTGGGGGGCTTCGGCTCATTGTTGCCTAAGTAATAAAAGTTGCCTTGAGTTCTTGAATCAATATCTGTGAATTGTTAGATTAATCTGCAGGTTCTAACAAACTGAAACTGTCTTGCAAAATGCATTTCATCATACAATATTCTTCCTCAACATAGCGGATAACATAAAGGAGGAATTGAACTTTGCACCCCATTTTTGGGTGATATTTGGACATTGCATCCCATTTTTTGGAATGATATTGGACTTTGCACCCTATTTTCAGAATCATTATGTGTGCACCCCGTTTAGTATAAAATCATTTGACTTTGTACCCCCATTCCTTCACAATTTTTGGGCTGATGGGGTGCAAGTATTAATGATTCTGAAAATGGAGTGTGAAGTCCAATATAGCTCAAATCCCCCCTAACATAAATTGGTATTCTCACATAACAATTAAGTGGTGCATATATCTTTAGGGTGAAGAATACCAGTTGTTCTGGCCAGAGCAGTCTGAATTTGTGAGGATGGCAGCCAGATTTGGAGCCAAAATTATACCTTTTGGCGTTGTTGGAGAAGATGACGTTGGTGAAGTATGTCCTTGCCATTTCTACTCCCCCCTGTGCAATTTTGTTTTCTCAATTGTATAGTCATTTAAATATAAATCCGTATTGTCATGAATCATGACTTATGAGTGAGAAAATGTCATCCTTTTTTTATCCAAGTGTATATCTTTAGTGTTATTATTTGCATATTACAATATCAATAGATATTATTATTGTTAATTATTATTGGTGTTGTTTTACACATGAAAAAGTTGTAATTATAAAACCATGTGACATACTTGAATAATAAATAATAATCTTATGAAACCTGGAGTTGGATGCGAAAATTGAAATCTTGATATAGACTAGCAATAACCCCATACTATTATGTCATGAGCACCATAATATATGTCATCAGCTATGGGAAATGACTTAGAGTCATTTACATTGCAATAATAGTTAAACACACCTATTTATTTAAAAATTTATTAGTAATAATATTCAAATACGGAGTAATATTTATAGTACACCTATAATAATAACAATAATAATAATAATAATAATAATAATAATACTCCATCTGCCCCGAATTATGTGTCTCGTTTTACTTTTCGGGTTGTTCAAAAAGAAAGTTTTGTTTCAATTTTGGCAAGAAATATGTGGTTCCTATCATCCCAAACCAGACACATAATTTGGGATGGAGGGAGTAATAATAATAGCAATAATTGTAATCATAATAACAACAGCAAAATTTTCAGACTGGATCTAATGTGAACATTTATGAACAGTTCTGAGTGTTTCTGATCTGATTAGAATAAGCAATAATAAGATTTGGATGAACTGAAGAACACATGAAATGTTCTTTAAAAAAGCTCCAATCCAGTGCTAATAAGCACAAAAAGTTATTTTCGCCGAAGTGCCAAATTTTATTTTCAAAAGTTTAAGTACCTTTCCTATTACAAAATGCTTCTTATTTGGTGGACGCAAGAATGAGAATTTATAGCTTATGCATTTGCACAAGCAAGTAAACAACATCCAAGCCGTAGTCCCGTTTTTGGAAAGAGTTTGGGTCCGCTAACATGAATCTACATGTGATATTGGAGTACACATTAGATAGATAAAGAGGGAGACATACAATATAAGATAAATCCTTCACACATATGTTCCGTCACTTCGTACAAACAAGTAAACTGTAAAAAACTGATCATCTGACCGACTTTCTGTTCTTCCATTCAGTTGCTCTTCGATTACCATGACCTGATAAAAGTCCCATATTTCAAGGATGCCATAGAGAAACTAACTGCTGAGGCTGTAAAGTTGAGGTATATTTTACACTTAGTCTCTTACTCTTTCGTTTCTCTAAGTTTAAACACATTGGATTCTATAGTATGTCTGTTCCTAAAAACAGTAAAAGCAAGATGAGTTTGTAATCTGTTCACAAAAGACTAACTAGGTGTGAATTAAATGCATGCAGGAGTACTGCAGAAGGTGAACTTGCAAACCAAGATGTGCATCTCCCAATCATTCTTCCAAAACTACCTGGCCGCTTTTACTATTATTTCGGGAAGCCAATTGAAACAGAAGGTAGAGCCATACACGACAAACCACAAACTTTTCTATGATCATTATGCCTATTTATGAAATCAGAGTTACATTTAATATTGGATACACTCAATTTCAGGATTTACCTTAATACTGGATATGAAATCCTATCCTTATGTATGAAATCAGAAAGGGAAAAGGTACAAATATACCCCTGTAGTATGAGTGTAGGAACATATATACCCTTGGTCTATTTTTCGGAACAAATATACCCCTGAACTTTTAAAAAGGTGCAAAAAAATCCCTCATATTCTTATAAATGGACAACTAAATCCTTCTTGACTTCAAATTAAAAAAATAAATTTTAAAAAACACCAAATATAATTTATAAATTCAAAGTTAAAAACCAAAAAAATTTAATTCTCCCTTTTATAGTTTTTATATCAAAAATTAATATTGTTTAAGTATGAAATATTATTTCAAAATTATACTATATGTTTAAGATTCTTTCGAAAAGGTGCTAACATATGTTTTGCAATGTAAAGAAAAATTAGTTTTTTGCATTCTTTGCACTATAAATTTACATACTTTGAAATAATATTTTATACTAAAAATATTAAATTGTGGTATAAAAACAATAAATGGGAATTGGACACAATTACTTTTTTAATTTTTTTAATTTCGATTGTTTTAATTGTTTTTGGTCTTTTTTGAAATTTATTTTATTAATTTAAAGTCAACAAGGATTAGTTTTCTCCTTTATAAAAACATGGGGGATATTTTTGCACCTTTTTAAAAGTTCAGGGGTATATTTGTTCCAAAAAATAGAACAAGGGTATATTTGTTCTTTCACCTATACTACAATCAGAAATAGCGGGAATTCTCAATTCTTGAAAGTGGATGTTTGATGTTTTACATGTCTTGACTTCAAATTAGTGTTGTTAATTCCCTTGAATTTCAAACGTGTTTGAATGAAATTCCCAGTCATGCAACCCCACTAACCAAATTCCTAGCAATTGTATACTGGCTAACAAACATAGCCTTACCTCATTTTATACGGATGAACACGTGTTTATGATTACTATCAGACTTAAACTTGGTCAATATGGAATATATTTGCATGATGACATATATGTGGAATTAATTAGCCCACTGGTAGGGATGGTGGAGATAAAGTGATGGTTAAAACACTGTTGCAGGAAGGGAGGAGCTGAAAAGGAGGGACAAAGCCCATGAAGTGTATCTGGAGGTGAAATTAGAAGTGAAAAAATGCATAGCTTATTTGAAGGAGAAGAGAGAGAAGGATCCATACAGGAATTTAGTAGCTCGCTTGCATTACCAGGCCACTCATGGCCTTCGTTCTCAAGTCCCCACTTTTGAACTCTAATCAGTCCTGTTGGTGCTTCTTCTCCTATCAATACCTATTATAAATGTAAGAAACGTTTGTATCAAAGTGCTGTGGTTCGTCACTGCTCACTCACTCATAGTCATACACTCATACATATGAGGATTATAATAACAATCACTTACTGCCGTCAATGGGGGTGTGCAAGTGAGATCACATACCCAAGTACAATTCTTAGGAATGATGACCAACATAGTTTATTATACTGATATGTAAAACTTTAAAAGACAGTATTCAGGCCCAAAAATGTAATCTGATAGTGTGAAATTGTATCAGGAATGATGACTTGTAGTTGTCACTTTAGTACATGAACTTGTATCGAGTAAAAAGTACATTATTTATTATTAGAAATTAGCCAGTACTTGTACAATATACTTGGTTATTTAGTGTAGGTTCAGTACGTCTCTTATTACACTTATCTAACCTCGCCATAATCTTTACACTTTATAAACTCTAACATAATTATTTTCGAGCTATGTGAATTTGTGAAGAGAGCAAGTATCTTGTACAAATAGTGTAGATGACAAAGGGAGAGGATCTGAACTAGGGTTGGACCTGATTCCGGTCCCGGTTCCTAATAATTAAGACCTTAACTGTCCTGGAAGTCTGGAACTATACGGGTTGCGGTTCCGAATCTGGGTAATTGGCCGGTCTTGGTTCGGTCCCGGGCTGGCTTGGGTCCTATTTATTTATTTTAATACAAATGAAATTTTACACATTAGAAAGTGAAATGTATGTTTATTTCGAAATTAGAGTATTACACATTTATAAATTACAATTGAGAATAGTTTAAACTTAAAAATTTAAATACATGAACTAATTGTCAAAGGGAATCCAAAACAGCGGGGCTAGGTTTTGGCAGTGTAAACTGTAAATGGGATTGCAGCAGAGCCGGAGAGGGTTAGGTACTTAGGTTGGGGCGGTGGTGACCGGTGGCATGAGTAGTCATGGACCAAACCGGGTCCAGTCCCGGGTCGGGCCTAGGCCCGGCCGGGCCTTGAATTTCTAGAAGGAAGCCCGAGACCGGCCCGTGTTGACGTGTTGTGGCCGGTGCCGGTTTGGGCCGGGCCACCCGCCCGGGTCACGGGTTGGGCCACCCGCCGGGCCGGTTCCCGTTTCCCCCCTACTAATTTATACAAGTGTTCCATATTAAAAAAAAGTTCAAGTGCATTTATTTGAAATAGGAACTACATTTGAGAATTGAGAAAAAAATTACAATATGAAATGTATTTTGTAATAAATAACAATATAATATATAATATTATAATAATCAATCGGAATTTCCGCCACTGTTGGTTGTTGTTTTCTCCTTGCCTTTGTCATAGGACTTAATATGGCTTGTGGGTATCCCCCGTATCCATGTGAACACCCCAAGCTACAATCTTTCTTGTACCACCTGCAAGTTGCGTACCACATCCCGGTCTTCGGGTCCTTCCACATATAAAAATTGTTTTTCATAAGGGAAGATGTACTTTCCATCTTTAAAATGGTAGATGTATAAGTAGGAGAATAAGAGAAGATGAAGATGGAGAAGAGTTGGAGAAGAGGTGTCGGAAAATGTTAGAAAATAGGTGTATTTATAGAAATTTTTGAACCCCCGGACCCCATGTGCTGGCACCCAACCGCTATATAGCCGTTTGGGTCTTTGGGAATTGGGAGCTCTTTGTTTAATTTTTTTTATTTTTAATTTGAGAAAATTACATATTGTAAAATTTATTAATTACTTTAATTATTTAAGTAAAGCTATTTGTACTTAGAAAATAGGTGTGAATGTGTGATTTATAATTTAAAAATGTTAGAAAATAGGTGTATTTATACAAATTACATATATTGTAAAGCTATTTTTAATTTAAAAGCAGCCTTTAGAAAATTAATTGTAACTTCTAACCAATTAATTAATTTGAGAAGTGTTGCATATAAAAACAATGAACGTATATTTATTTGAAATATGAACTACAAAGTCTACAAGTCTACAAGTTTACAATTGAGAATTGAGGAAAAAATTCAAACATGAAATACATTTTATACTCCGTAATAAATTGTGAAATATTAATCAATCGGAATCTCCGGCACAGGTAGAGCCACCCTCGGTTGTTGATTCATCCATAGTGTTGGGAGGGGGTGATGCTAAGTTCTTGAGTTCTACGTCAGACCTTCAACCAATCGTGGTAGCATAGGTAGAGCCACCCTCGGTTGGATGCTTTCGCTAAATTGCATAAGTTGCGAGCGAGAAGTACATTTGATCTTATATGTAACTTATTTATATATGCTAAAAGTGAAAAATTCATTTCATGTGTTACATATTAATTTTTGATAAAGTTAAGTCATATTATTTAGTCTGTTTTGTCGCCTAGAGTCGTGTGTCATAAAAATAGAATTTATATGTTGGTATTTCAAAATTTAAATGTTCTATACTTTCTTGTCAATTATTATCTGAACATCCAACAAGCGCACCAGAATTTTTTTGCTTTTCATATAGGTATTTCTACGGTGAAAATTACACTTTTTCATAGTCACCTAATTCCAATGTAATTAAAACCAGGAGGGTCTTAACGTGAATAAAAATACAAAATGGACTTATTCAAGTTTGCATTTTACCATAACAATGCAAATTTGCAGTTTTCATAGGTACTGCCACCCAACAACTTTTATAGTGAGATTTTGGAGTTCTAAAACAACCATTGTAAATTTATTTTTAGAGTTTTACCTATTGTTCTTCTAATGTTTTAAAACAGCAGAAGAAAGACTTTACATCATTTGTTTCTTAAGGAAGTGCGAAAATTTGAGAAAATGACACATGATTGATTTCAAGTTAAAGTCCAAACATTGTGTTGTTGTTATACAACCCACAAGCATTGAAAACACGATATTGCCCCTATCCATTATAGAAAAATACACTCTAACAATTCTTAGAATTGTGGGGAGGGAATTTCAAGTGTGGTATAGCACATACAATGAAAATTATCTAATTCTCCATAGTATCTATTAATGATGGACCTGAAGTCTCTTAAGCACTTTCCTGGAAACAACAAGGGGTACAAAGACAAAAAAATTAAACTCATACCAAAAAAGGAAAGCAATATTAGTAGAGGAAATTTGACTTTGCACCCCACGTTTTTGGCAATATTAGATTTTGCACCCCATTTTAAAATGGGAAAATAACTTTAAATAATACAAACTATCTTCCATGAACCAAGAATAATACATACTTTGGAAATAACTTTTAATAATACCAACTATTTGAATGTAAACCAAGAATAAAATAAAGTCACTTTTCTACAAGAAATTTGGCCATTTAAGATATCAAAAACTAATATCAAATCATCAAATAATTGATATTTAGATATATGATCACTTATTTGATATTTTGATATTAGTTTTTGATGAGTTAAAAAAATTGAGTTTTTAGTAAAAATTTGCTATTGATATATATTCAAATAGTTGGTATTATTAAAAGTTATTTCTAAAGTTTGTATTATTCTTGGTCCATGGAAGATAGTTGGTATTATTTAAAGTTATTTTCCCTTTTAAAATACATTGGGTTTGAGCCTCAACACTCCACTTTTGTGAAGAAAAAAATTTGGAATAGGGTGCAAAGTCAAAGACATTTTAAGGTAAATGGGGTGCAAACTCAAAGCATTTCGAAAATGGGGGTGCAAACTCCAATATCACCTAAAAAGTGGGGTGCAAAGTCAAAATCTCCAATATTAGTATTCACAGGGAAGCAAAGGTATATAAGGAAGGAGCAAAAGTTGCGAACTGTCTTAAGTCGATGAGGAACTGTCGCTTGAGAGGAACTTGAAAGGACTAAGTGTGAGATCAATTACAGGGGTATTGAATTTGGGATTTAAATTTGAATGGTATAATAATATAATGGTTTAAAAACAGCCTCCAAATGGATAAAAGTTTCTGTGATTCTTGATATGCTTAAGCCAAATATAGTTTTTTGTCAGAAGTATTAATAGGGCTTTAACATTTGGATGAATTGGTTTTAAATGTAATAGTACATTTAATCATTAAGGAAGCAGGGAATTTGGAATGTTTGGCTACAGTCAAGGTCTTAGACACCTATTCTGAATGGAAAATATTATAAAATGATATATTATGTACACCCGTTAGTTAAGAAAACATTATAAGTACAACATAGTGTATGAAGCTCATTTCTTAAATTGAGGAAACAAAAGGGAAAACAAAGAACAACAAGACTGAAACAACATCACATTTATGCCTTCATAAGCATCATTATTTGTTCCTAAATTAGTATTAAGAGAATGAATTGGCAAAACTTTTGGTGAATGCACTTAGAAGATTAAGGTTGGAGCAGTAACAACTACTTCTAAAGTCCAACGAGACAAATTCAATCCAATGGTAAAAATGTAAGCATGTGTTTAAAGGCATGGTGGTTCTTAATCCCATCTAATGGTCCGAAAATTGTAAACTATCTAAACATAATAACTCTAAATATCCAGCTATGCATAATATTTATTAGTTAATTTATTTATCATGTTACCTAACCTTGGAGAAAACTTGCTAGAACTATTTAAAGTCTTAATATCTCGATCCTTGCAAAAAAAATCTCAATCCAATTGAGTCTGTGTTTTTCTACCAGTCACCTAAGAGGCATCATAAGTGGCATCTCAATGGAACTTCAAAGAATCAAATGTCTTTTTTATTATCCATAGCTATTATTTAGTTTTGTCACTGACCTTTCTTTATACTTGGTTTCACAGCTTCATGGAAACAACTACTTAAGGAACCGGGGTTATTTGATTTTGATGTTACTTTTTTATAACTTTACCAAGGTTACCAGCAGCCCCATGACTACTTGTTTCTTCAACCAAGGTTAAATTAAAATGAGGAAAATTAAGTTTGCAATATGCAGTGTAGTGTGATTACTCATCCGCGGTATAGTGGAAGCCATCTCAAGAATCAAGGCTGAAATGTGATTCCTGACCTTTTTTTGAACTCTAAATTTAACATGCCGTAAATGAAAAATTTTACATGCTAGCAACCACATAGTCAGCAAACCAAAGGGAGGGGGAAATGAATTAAAAACAGCCTCCAACTGTAAGTAAATCTCAGCTAGTTACCTAAAACACTTCACATGGACATTTCAACAAACACATAGCATGCAAAACAAAAGAAAGTGATAGAAACAAATAAACAAAGAAAATAAACACAAGGATGTGGAGAAATACAGATGAAGGGATGCCCACACACGTATTACACATTGAAAAGCTTTAAAGAAGTTAAATTAGGTTTATTACATATGAACCTTTTGGTTCTACTTAAAATCGGTAACGAAGGGTAAATAAAACAGAGAAAGAGTAAGCTTACACAGTCACAGAGCAAATGCAGTGAGGAAGTGGGAGGTAGGGACTTGGGCGAGCTGCGTGATAGAAGAGTTGGGAGCCGCTGAGGCG